GTAAGCAGCTCTCTGCCCAAAATAATTGCCCACCCCTGCTGTACCCTGTGCCCCCCCTATTCATCACCTATGCCCCCCTGCCCACACAGACTTACCTGGAGGGAGCTGCAAGAGCTGCTCTCCACTGCTGCCTGTCTGCCACATGCATGTATGTGCGCAAACTCATGCATGTGAAGCCTTCTACATCCTGCTCCCCCCAGCCCCAAGCAGCCCCTTGCAGGCTGGAAGGCTGCCAGCCTGCAAGGGGAAACCCATGGTTTCCCACATCTTTCTCCTTTAAATGAGAAAAATCCGCATTTTTCCACAGCAAACGGAAAACCCAGATCCCTGCTAATTAGCTACAAAATTAATATTCCATTAGTTCCAGGACACAACAAGCATCGAATTCCAAGGAGAGAATCATTAAAATAGTGCCTAGAAAGGTTACAAAGTTCAAGCCAACTCTAGTGGGTTGGAGGCACAGTTTTGTTAGCTAAAACTGAGAAATAAAAGATGAATTCCTCATATTTCCACTGTTTATGTCTCTCTTATGATCTCCTGAGTATTTAAACCAGGCAAAAACTTAGAATAAAGTTCCAGGACTTGGAGTATTCTCTAGGTGTATATGGATGATTCCTCCTCACTGGTCTCTCTCAGACCCCTTCCAACTGGATCTGTAACACGGGTTGCAGACTCTGAGTCTGCGAGTCACCTACATGACTTGCAATCAGAAACCACTCCTCTGGAATCCAGTTCAACAGCCTATTTCCTTTAAGGAGCCTGAGGTAGGTAAGCAGCTGGCAGCCAGGTTTTGTGGCATGTGAAGTCATATAGTTTTCACCTAATGTTTATGTCAGCTATGTCAGATTCTCTATCATCCTGTGCCTTGTGCCACTGACACTAATGCAAGGAAGGGGAAATGCTACCAGATCAAAGTGAGGGAGTTTGAACTAGAGTATGTAGTATTGCCAGGTGCAGGACAAAGGAGGGTGTGGTCCTAGATGGTCAGGGTATTTCATGCAAGTCAGGGACTGTCATTCTTTCAGGTGAGCAATCTTTACAGCTGGGAATAATTTGCAACGGCAACCAACACACTCCCCTGTGCAACCATCTACCTACAGGCTGGGGAGTCACTTCCACAGATGTAAGTCATCTGTCTCACAGGCACAAGGAGTGGGAAAAAACAGGATACAGCCTACTTTAAAGTTCCCCTTCATCTAAACAATGTCTGTAAGAACTTTTCTTTCAGCTTTTCCATAAAGGTTTCTCCCTTTCTCTTCATCCTCCAACCCTGGGTAAATCTGCCTGCTATAACCCCTGCTCATGTGGTTTCTACCTCTCTTCACCATAAACACCTGGAAACCAATGATGGTAAACTGGTAACTGGAGTCTGTCTGACAGCTGAGCACAGGGCCCAAGTGCTTTCTTCCTTCTCCCAGAGCATAGGGCTGTCAGTGCCACTCCTACCTGAAGCCGGAGAAGATGCCAATGGCCAAGAGCAGGGCAGCCAGGGAAGCAGAGTAGCCACAGGTATAGAGCACTTTCACAGTGACAAAGTAGCCTTTCTGGAAGAGAAAGAGGCAACTGAGTTAGCAGATCAGGGTGGCAAAACCAGGCATCCTACCTATGCTAAGGCCAGTGTATGGGCTGACAGCCTGGAGTACATGGTCCCTGAGGGCACTGGTACCCAATGTGGACAACAAAGGACACATGCACTCTGGACCCTGCCATGTTTGTCCCAGTGCTCATTGCAACCCTGTTATCAGGAAGCTTCCTACATACTGCCTCCCTACTGCATGGGACAGGCTCCCACATGCAAATTGGCCGTGTGAGGTCAAACTGGTCATGTGAGCTCAGGCACATGCTGGTGTTCGCTGGCTTTGCAGCACCTGTGCTTGTGCGCCTGTGCAAGGGAGATATTTAGGGCAGTGCCAACACATGCCTGAGCAGACAGCACAGCGAGGTTGCATCTGTGTGCAACCCCCTGCTTTCCTGGCTGCTGTTTGCTCACCAGTGAGCAGAGGGCAGGACACCTGTGCTGTATCAATCATTGATGCTCCTGGCAGGCAGGGCCTACTCTGCAGAAGGGGAAAACCTTTGAACAAATATGAAAAGTTCTTCTAGCTGTTCTCTGATGTGGGATCCAAGCTGTATTGGCTCTCTTCACCACAGGTAGACCCGGCTAACTGCCACCACTGAAGGACCATGCCAGTCCCATGGAGAAACCCAAGCAAAAGCCCCAACAAAGCCCATGGTCTCTGTGGCAGGAAGCCACCTTTGTTTCTCCCCAAAATCTCTGCTCTGTGACAATTTGATTAGGATGGGCCCAGCAGAGGAGACGCACCTTTACCCTGTCCCTTTAGGTAACCTGAGCTGGATACATTCCTGAGGGAGGGGGGAAACCTACTCCCTCAGCCTACGTGACTGGTATCAGCTACCTGGGTGAGGGGCATCTACCTGGTGGGCTAGAGTCTGCCTGGCAACTAGTGATGTATTTCAAATTGGTTGGCCAACAGCCAACAGGTGCTGGCCTCCATTGGACCAGGTGAACAAGGTCACAGGGGCTTTGTGAGTTAAGACTACCCAGGAGGAGGGGGCAGCTGCCATGCGGGGGACTCAGAATTAGAGAGGAGTTTACCATCTGAAACTGGCTCTCGCCCCCATAACTCATGAGCACGGAACGGCCTGCTTCCAGAGGGAATCTCCAACAGCTTTGGGATGATACTTGTGAGTAAGCTACTCGAAACCTGATTAGATATCTAGCTGGCAGTAACTCAGATGTGTGATCAAAAGGCTACCTCAGCCAGACTGTTTTGCTCTACGGGATTTCTATGATATTGCTCTATCTTGTACCCTATTTTCACCCTACCCCTGTAATCA